ACCTAAATTTCAATTTCTATTTAAGAAAACAAACGATCGTTTAGTTCTTCGTTTCACTGGGATTATAATAAACATGTTGACGCTGTCAACGATTAAATAAAATTAGAATACTGTTACTGACTGGCGACTTACCGTCTTCGTTGTCGTATACAATTGCAATTTTCGTCCAATTGAGAAATTCAATTAGGTCTCTGTACGCTTGGCCCAGTTGTCCTCGTACTGGGAACATATCAGTAACAAAATGTCGTCTGGAAATATCAGTACTCCGGTCAGCGATGGTCAACAGCAATGGCATGCTAACCGACTCACAAATGGACACCATATGACCAGCCAAATGACTGTCGGACGGACCAAATATCACGTGTACACCGTTTTCTAGTAGCTGACAAACTATAAAAATACATTCAATTATAAAATTGTGTAATGTTATTAAAAAAAGGAATCACGAAGTGAGTTAAAATTTAATTAAAAAAACTTAATCATTTTATATAGTTTATAATCTGTGATGATTTCATTATTCGCGATCCCTTTAATTTGACGTGTATTCAAAATGAAAAGGTATCGTTAACGAAATCCGTTAATTTTAGATAGTACGACTAATTTTCAATACAATATTAATAAAAAATACACTTGATATTTTAGAATGTAAAATGATTACTGGTGTTATCGCGTCTACCGATCAAACTCTTTAATAATTACAAGTTATAACTTATTGTATTAATACAATAAGATATAACTAATAAATAAGTTGAATCTATTTAGATGTTATAAATATCAGTCTAATAGTGAAAATATGAACAATCGTTATGTTAATAACTGTATAAATAATGTAGACAGTGTTTAATAATTATATTAACTAAAATTATTTTATTCGGTTTATTTTAGTTATTGTATGGTTGATTAATGGTACGCTTAATACACTTTTTTTTTAAACTAATACGAACAAACGTTGAAACCGTTGAAAGACGTTCATATTTATCTCTCTAATTTGAAGTTGTATTTTATCAAACAAAGTTTTGATAAATACAACTGTAAATGAATGTTGATTGTTATCAAGTAATATTTAAATATTAATATACCATAATAATACTATTAAAAATGATGTTATGTTGTTTGGATAGAAATGATAAGTACACACAAAGAAAAAATGTATAAATCTATAATTTTGGTGTCTTAATATTTATTTATTTTTATATAATTAATTCATAAATTCCATATAAAATTACCAAGTACACAAATTTTATAGTTTTAAGTTGTTAAAAAACATGCAGAATTAACTTTGTAAAAAGAATAGAACTAAATTTTCGTGTTATATCTTTATTGTATACTATTATTTAAATAAGTTCCTTAAAAGTAATTTTAGCCTATATTTTTATAAAATACGTGGACTGCATTGTAATTTTAAGAAATACTAAGATTGGGGTTTGAATTTAGATAAGATGCTATGATTAAATTGTGTGTCACCAATAACATACCCCTAAGATTATTCAAAACATTCAAAATTCATTTTATTTTTTACATACTTGTTGTTTTGTAGTTTTATCATTTGATAAAAAAAAATTGATTTATATTCACTGTCTCCCAGCTCGGAAATCATAAATTTAAAATAACATACAAAGTATATACAAAAATTATCGATTTACAGCAAATACACACACGTTTAAAGTAATGTATACGAGTACTACAATACAAAATTATGTAATATATTTATAACAAATAAATCAATTGATAGTAAAATTAAGTCGTTCAGTAACGTGTTTAAAATAATAAAAAAATCTAAGAGCACGTTTATACTTTTGTACAGCCATTCATTTGTAAAGTTTAATTATTTTGTTCATAGCATCATTGGTTTTAAAGAATTTTAGTATTATCAGACAAGGCTAATTTTTGATATGAACTAAAAGCATTTTCATAAATGATTTGAAAGATCAACATATAGTTATGATTCGTAACAAGGTTTAAAAGGATATCATTTGCTCACTAAATTTTGTTTGATAAAATAAAAATATTAGTTCAAAAAAAAAAAAAAAAATTGGCAAACCATCTATAAAAAATAAAAAATATAAGAAAATTATAGAATTCACAATTTAATATAACTATGATTAAGGTTATGATATAAAAAAACCCAGCACAGGGGGGTCGCGGCACAGTGGTGACGTGGTATAGATGGATTAAGTATAATGATATCTGACAGTGATTAAAATCACTATCAAAAAAAAACGCTTCGATGCAAATCTTTAGATAGTGTTTAATTTTAAAAAATTGGTGGACTATTCCAAAAGCTACATTATCTGCTAGTTCATTATTAATATCCTAATTAAGATAAAGTATGTAGAATGAAAAAGGGATTATTAAAAAATATTATTTCTCATAAAAAAATAATGTTGATCCATACACTTTTCAATATGTCATAGCATTATAAAGTTAAAAATTTAAAAAATAAAATCGAGAATTTTCACACAATAATAGCATTCGGTAGCCATTTTCACCGTGAAGATAAAATAAAGTTCGAAATTTTTTTTTCGCATAATAAAGTAAATTACATTAGCTTTAATTTAATATATATATAAAAGTGTCAGACTTTCCGGAACACTTTCAAAATTTAAGTTGAAAAAGTCAATTTTTTGTGAAAAAGTTGTCATTTTGAATCCCCCCCTGTAGGCAGGTCAAAAGTCAGATTTATAAAAAAAATATACCAAATGATAGGTAAAGACATCATGCATCTACAAAAAAAAGAATTATATTGATCCATACATCTTTCGAGAAGTTATAGCATTATAAAGTTAAAAATATAAAAAAGAATTTTTTTACAAAAATCGTATTTTTTTTATTAAGTTTAATGTCTGTTTTCACCATGAAGATAAAATAAAGTCCGAAATTTTTTTTTACCATTATAAAGTATATTACATTAGCTTTAATTTAAGATATATATAAAAGTGTCAGACCTTCCGGAACACTTTCAAAAGTTACGTTGAAAAAGTTCTACTTTCTATATGCATTTTTATGTTTTGAATCCCCCCTGTATTTAGGGAAATGGTCCGATTTAAAAAAACAGTATGTCGAATGAAAGATCTATATAAATACTACTTCTCATAAAAAAATTGTAATGATTCATACATTTTTCAAAAAGTTATAGCATAATAAAGTTAAAAATGGAAAATACAAAATCGAAAATTTTCACACAAAAATAGCATTCGGTAGCCATTTTCACCATGAAGATAAGATAAAGTCCGAAATTTTTTTTTTTCATGATAAAGCATATTACATTAGCTTTAATTTAAGATATATATAAAAGTGTCAGACCTTCCGGAACATTTTCAAAATTTAAGTTAAAAAAATTAATTTTTTGTGAAAAAGTTGTCATTTTAAATCCCCCCTTGTGGGCAGGTTAAGGGTTAAATTTATGAAAAAAATATACCAAATGAAAGGTAATGATATTATGCATCTATATAAAAAAGAATTATATTGATATGTTTATTTTTGAAAAAGTTATGGCACTTTTAAGTAAAAAAAATTGAAAAAATTTCGAAAATTAGCGATTTTTAAATTTGTAATTTTTTTGGAGGTTTCCCCCTTTTACGGGGAACGAGGGAATTTTTTTCAATTTTTAAGGGTAATGTCTTCGACTAGATACGATTTGTGATCTTTTGACGTATCATTGAAAGAAATCGGTTCGGTGAGAGCTGAGAAAAAGTGGTAACAGACATAAAAAAAAAAAAAAAAAAAAACACATCTTAGTAAAACCAATACCTTCTCAGCTTCGCATCGAAGCTAAAATATACCAAGTAAAAAAAATTAATTTTTTACCATAAAAAACGTAGTAAGTACAATTATTTTAATCTTGTAAATAAATTAAATTATTTTTTAGAACACAATAGGAATGACGTTAAAAACAATAGATGCTTGTAATATGTCTATTTAGTTTAGACAAACTGATTTCCCTTTTCATAAATAAATTTTTTCTAATTCGTCAATCTATTAAGAGTTAAATGAAAATATTTAAAAGATAATGAACTATTTAAAAAATTCTATATACTTAATTCTAAGCTTATAGTGTCATTTTATAGCAAAAGTTTAGCTGAAATATTACAAAATTTTTTATTGAAAAAAATTACTGGTCAATAACAATTTGTGGATGGGTATTTTGATAATTATTCACATTTTTATACAGGAAGAAGAGTGTGACCGAGAAATATCTAATGATAATAATAAATGTCTAATAATGAAAATAGTCATACTCGAATTTCACCTCTAGTCTAAATATGAAAATTTTAAAACTTCCTAAATACTATTACAAATTTTGATATCGACTGTAATTTTCTTATCATTTTCTATATTACAAGCTAATTAATATGTGTACCGGTATTAAAAAAATAAAGTTGACACCCTTATAAGATATAAGGGCTGAACTGAAAAAAGACTCAACGATTGATAAATCTAGAAATACATGTTATTAAAAAGAATCAAAAAAATATATCCGAAATTAGTTTTATTGTAAGTGAGTGGGCTATGAAAAATAGGTCACCTGAATGATTATAAAAGTATTATTTGATAATTTCTATATTTAATTAATATTAATTACTGAGAATATTCATAATACATTAATTAGTTTAACGAATTCTGATTCATTAAGTTTATAATCCACTTCAATAAGAAAAGTTTTCTCGCTAAAAATAAATACACAAAAAATATAAATATGTATTAAAAAGTTTTTATTATAATAATGACTTATAAGTCATAAATGAGAGTATTTTTAGATAATTTTTTGTAATTCAAGATAGATATGGTTTTTTTTTTAATTGATAGTTAGTAATGTTATTAATGTATACTTTTTAAAAATTTTTTATTTTTCTAAGTATAACAAAAATTACCGATAGCTTATCGGTTATAGCTAATCATATACGTTTAATAATAATAGCTTGTTATTATTAAACGTATATGATACACAATACTATTTAAAATATAAAAACATGGTATTGATGTAATCATATTTTAATATAATTATAGAGAAACAGTATGTTCCATTACAGAAAAGTCTGAAAGTATGATTTTTTTAAGCATGTTCAGACGGCAGCGCGGCTGATACCAGGAAAAATTGGAGTGACTCCAACTAAATGGAATTGTTACTGCGCTAACAGACACAAGAACATTAAACGAAGGTTTTAACGAGGCTCAATGTTCACGGCGTGCAGAATTTCTTCGGAAACATTCTCGCTCGTTTTAACAGTTTTCCACATTATGTATTAAATTCAATAAGCTGTAATTTTTTTGCTCCCTAAGCACATTTTCCCTTAGTCTAGAGTGTTTCATAAAAACCGATTGTTTCCACACGACAGGATTTCCAGCATAGATTCTAGTCATTTTTATAATTAAATTTTGTGTCTTTTTCA